TTATCTTCTGATAAATCTGTAAAAGAAATAGTGGTTTTATCGTTGTGTGATAATCTTTTTTTTTTTGTACTGGAACGGCCATTAGAAGGCCGAGCCAAAAACGGACGGTCCAAGTGGGGCAGCCGAAGAGGGTGAAATTGTCAAGAGGTTTTTTGCGGCCGTTGATAGGCCGAATCATAATTTCCAAAGTAACGAACCGTGGAAACTGTGGAACGGACGAAATCCTTAAATTTTAAACGACTGCCAAACCTCGTATTGTTGAATTGAGGCAAATATGAACAACTAAGCTAACGGGCCGGTCGCTTTGCTGTTCTGTTGCTGTGAATTTGAGTGATTTCAGGTGCATATTTTGACACAGATCGAGAGAGCACTGATACAGGAACGACCGAGCGGTCCGGAAGATTGCATCAAATGGGCTCGACTCAATTTTCAGGTCGTTGAAATTTCAGTTTCAGATAGCCCCTTTCTGTTCCTTCTCCACTTTCCAAGATTCATTTCTTTAAAAAAAAAGAGTTTTTTATCTTGACTTTTTTTCCTACAGGAATATTTTCACAATGCAATTGCGCAACTGTTACACATGTTCCCGGAGGACCAGGTGACCGATTTGGGGATGAAGTTCTGGTCAGGCAGCAAACGGTGCCCACATGTCCTCGAATTCAACCCACAAAAAGTAAGGTTTTGTGTTTTTTTGCATTTATTAAAACTCCGTCTTCAAAATTATAAATTTTCTTTCGATTAGCTCTTCAGTGCACAAAAGCATCATCGCATTTAAGGCTAATATTTTTGCAGCCTGAGCACTTCAATTTTGTTTGGTCAGCTTCAATTTTGCGAGCACAACTCTACAACATTACTCCAATAATGAACAAGAAGAAGTTTTTGGCGGTTCTCAGCGAGGTATTTTTTCTTTTTTTTTTGCTGGTTTCAAGATTAGCTCTTTTCTGGCGTTCTGTTTTGCTTCTAAATGTTCAGAAGTCAAGCATTTCTTAATGCAAAATCGCAGCTGAATAAAACTGTAATGGGGGTACATGGTTCAGAAATTGAGTTACATGTGAAGGAATAGTGAAGGGAGTGAGGAAAAGAGTTAAAAATGAAGCACAGTGAAATTTGATTTTAGGTTGAGGTGCCGGAGTTCAAGCCAAGATCAAATGTGAAGATTGCCGTAACGGAGTCGGAAGCAAAACAGCTGGAGAAATCTGATGATGGTAATTTTTGTGTTTTTGTTGTTTGAGGAAAAAGAACACAAAATGCTGC